GGGCTCTTCCTAATTTGCATAATCCGTAATCAGCCCGTGGGCATTACGGCTGCATAATGACCGTTCAGATGTCGCTCTTCGCCAATCAGAGCGCGCGTTATATCGGCCACAAACCAAAGCCATATAATAATAAGTAGTTATTAATCGGATAAATTTAACGTGACAGTTGTCCTGGCCATTGCCAGAACCAAACGTAATCTTCTCTATGCACTTTTAACCGTGAACAACGTTCATCCAAAACTCGAATGACGTAATTAGAGGAAAAAGCTGTTCGAAAGATATAAATTATCTTGTGTAGGCAATAACGACATATTTTAATTAATGACCAAGGATCCCAAGTAATCAAGTTCACGACTCGTAAATTACTTTTACTGCTCGCGCTCAAAGCGGGCAAAAATGATAAGAAAGCCATAAAAGGAAACCCTTTAGTTCTGATGCATAGTTTCACAAGACAAAATGTTAGCCCAACAACCAATATTGCTTTTAAAACATTTTCCCAATGAAACGAAAACTTAAGTACATTGCGTATTGCCCACAGACGAGCGCATCTCAAGCCACTTTACAAGCATTTTTATCCCCCACGAAAACATCCACGTAGTAGTATCCCGTAGTAACATCATCTGTCTAAAAATAACTTCAGAGGGTAAGCGCCATATGGGGGATTAACTCTCTTAAACTTCACCTTCTCTTGATGTACGCGTTATATAGAGTTCAACTGCTACAAAGTACGGCTGTGATATTACCTCTGAGTGGTACAACTTCTTAGGGATGTATTGCAGCAGCTATTTCGTACGAAAGACTGGTCGTAATATGGCTACCTAGGTGATTTATCCTTTGTTTTCTTTGCATCGGGGAACTCTAGCAACAGCACTGCAAACATTTTTCTCTTTCTCATACGTTGCCCAGTCGATGTTTTATTTCCCCCTTTTCAATTGTATAACACGACAAAATATTAACTTGATCATCTTTGAGACCAAGTATGACATAGAAAGACAGACTACACAGCCAGCAACATTCTTGTTCACGTGTGGTTATATTCTCTTCTAACTTCTTCCGAGATGGAGCCACGAACATAGAGGCGCTGTTTTATATTTTTAATCAGTTTTACAGGCTGAATAAAGAACTAACAAATTAAATACGGTGTAAAATATTAAATAAGATCTTACCCAGATAGAAATGAGCAGTGGCTCTGTTACTGTACAGTTTGGCCTTCAGTACGTCATCTTTGCTGTTCACTTGGATTCCTTGCGTGTAGAACGACACGGCGTTACTAGCTTCTTTTCTTCTGTATTCTTTGTTACCTTCTTCTAAGTAGACTGTGGCTATCGCTTAAAAACGAAACGGTGATTTAGTATATAGCTGAAATTTTCCAAGGATGCTAAAGCTAACACACAAATTAGCTGGTTCGTTTCCCTTGCTGTGAAGTATGACATGGCTGGAAGGTTGAAATGTTCATTTCCTTGCAAGTACCACTAAGATGTATTCTCTTAAAACACAAGTCCCATTCCCAGAGACTGCGCATTTTCGGTTATCGGTGTCCGAATGCGTTGTGCGCATCTGTCCGAGCTCATAATAGTTTCTGAACATGCGTAGAAAGTGAAACTGTTGTGGCTAATGGCAGCTCAGCTTCCGATTTCAACCAGAGCTCTTGATATTTAGTGCTGACCAAGCAATCGAAAAATGTAAATAACTTTGGTAGCTTTGAAAGGTAACTTTGCACATATTACAAAAATTATCTGCCAGCATCGTCTTCATTTTTCTTATACAAAAGTGAACCCTTCTACCTCATCGTTCATTGAATAAACTGACCTGTTTGTAGGCAGCGTATTCCATCTCAAGTTCTACAACATGTTCATTTTTTTGAGCCATACATGTAGCCCTTTCCAATGACCATTTTAATGATAAGGTCATGTTATTAACTTGAAGTATTTAAGGTCAGTATTTACCTTTTAAAGTGGCATCATCAAAATCCAGCTGAACATCAGAATGTGACGTGACTTCACTTTCTGCCATTACTGAAAAAGAAGCGTGAAAAATTATTTTTTAAAGAATATAAATTTTCGTTTTTGCCCTCATCTTATTTGTACGTTTCTAGTCTATATTTTCGTAGAAACGTCTACGGCACCCAATTTCTCTTGCAAGCACATCCGAAGAAGCTCGTTTTCTAGACCTTTGAGTTTACTTTTGTCGACACTATTAAAGCACAGGTGACCAAACCGCACTATAAGAAAAGGGGCGCTTTCCTTCGATGACCGAGAGTTCCGGTTTGACTTTTTGGAAATTTCCAGAGGCGAATGGAACGGCATTATTCATGGCTAACACAGTATTTGAATTTACTAAGAGAAATTATTTGTAAAAACAATTTTGTTTCCCCAAACATTGTTCATACGGTAGAACTTTCTGTAACTGCTTGTCGATCTGACTTGGACAGAATCCTTCTATTTTCAAGCAGACTTTCACGTCGGCAATTGTTTACCAGTTGTTGTCGCGAATTAAGATCGAACAAGAATCTTTACAAAGCGTTGCTGGGTTGCTTTTGAAACGCTAGATAAATATACTTCAGGGAAATTAGTAAAAAATAATAATTAAGTTTGGGCCCTGTAAATCAAACGGGCGCCAAGTCGACCAACGAAGAATTAATTTCTGAACGTCGAGTTTTGACAGTCGCCCGAAAGTCCACCACTGGCAAACGTCTAAACAGATCCACGAATAACAAACGTTGGCATCAAAACAAATCATATTTAAAGCTTTTGCCCTGGTGAAGTCAAGTGCAGACGCCCGCAGGCAATTCAGCATTGAACTGTGCAGTCACGGTGACTGACCTCACTGCTTCAATATACGATAAGTTTAATAACATGACTGAAAACTGAGTTCTATATAATAACATACATTACATATTAATAGACCATATTCGTGTTCTCGGTATTAGACTGGAACTAGCTTGCAACCGAGGCTAATGCAGGGAGTCTTTTCAAATGCAAATGACATTAATCTATTTTTAATGATATTCCCCCGCATGAGCCTCCATCCCAAGCTAGTTCCAGTCCAATACCGAGAATACGAATATGGCCTATTTAGTTCTATCGCCGACAGCGTCTGCGTCTGTGAGTACTTTGCGCCCTCTGACGAAAAATCATGATGGAAACGTATACAACCGACGATAATAAGGCCTGCTCTGCATGCTGGTACGATTGTGCAACTTTTGCATTTTCTGACGGAAGAGACAGAAAAAAATCAAAACACATCTTAGAATTATGTCTGGTTTGCCACAAGCAACCAAGTACATGTAATCAATTAACCGTCGCTCGTAAGTCGATGGTATTTTTTGCCGTCTTCCAACTACCCAGAAGTTATTTTTTGTCTCCTTGTGCTTGTGTGTCCGCATATTCTAGTTGGAAGCAGAAAGCAATAATTTCAAGTCGAACGTCTCAAAACAAACATGGCGTCGTATAGTTGAGGGTTATTAAGACGGTAAATTTCCGTATTTTTACAAAGAGGGTAATAATAGCTTAAAAGCGATGATATCGTTCTTTGGGTTCATGGCACAGCTTTCCAGTCGAAAGAAAGTTTGAAATCAAACGGCTCCCTGAATAAACTGAATTAAAACTGCTCTATGGATCACTTTCCGTATTCTTAGATAGACAAAAACGTGGATTGTAATGGGGGCCGTGGAGAATTTAAAGGCCTTCAATTTACTGTTCACGAGCAACTTAACGGCATAAAGCGAACCACAATCAATAACACGGCAACAAAACAATAACTTACATGTACCTGCTCTTCTATTCAACGACGTAACCAACGGGAAAATATAATGATCGTCATGAAACTCATCATTTACACTTGCTTTGGAGTGAACAGAACAGTTCTACGCGACTGACCCGTGCAAAGAAAGACACGGCAGACCAGGTGGGCGGAATTTAAATCTCTTTTTAGGAATTAAGAGGCGCCCTCTGTAAATTTCAACTATGGTCATTTGGACCAGGAAAAATCAAATTCCTCAAACTTTCTCAGATGAATGGTCTAGATAAGTGATTCACAAAAATATAA